ATTCATATATTTAATCTTTTTCATTATATTATAAATAAAAGTAATTTGAAATTTTAATTAAATTCCCTAAAAAAATCTTGCAAATTTTGTTCATTCGATATTATTGTTATAATCGTTAATATAAATCTTTACATTATGATAGAGATAACTTTTTAAAACGATAATGAAAATATTTCGACTATTTAGGAGTGGGGTTTAGAAAATCATTGCTTTTAAAATATTCAAATACTTAAAGTATTTTAAATTTAATTATATATAAATATATATATATTCCAGAAATTCTTGACGAATGTTGCGAGCCATTAAATCATCTCTGGAACGATCTCTGGAATTTGGAGATATAGAACCGTTAGTAGAATATTCTAAATATATTCTAGGATTATTGAAACATACGTGAGCACAAAACTATTACAATGAAAAAGAAAGAGATAGATAGGATCGATAAATAAAGTTAGAAATATTCGATAGATATTACGAACTTTATAAAAAATAGAAAACCCTGAGAATAAGAAGGGATTCATACGAACGATTTTAAAAATATCTCTAACTATTTTATTCATAAAATCCTAGACAATAACAGGCAGATAGATAGATAGATAGATAGATAGATAGAGAGAGAGAGGGAAAATAATATAATAGATTATTTATTAAATAAAAAAAAATATTACGAATTCTATAAAAAAAATAGAAAACCCTGAGAAAAATAAGGGACTCATACGAACAATTTTAAAAGTATCTTTAACTATTTTAATCATAAGATCTTAGACAATAAAAGACAGATAAAAAGAAAGAGAGAAAATAATATAATATTTATTAAATAAAAAAGTAAAAAAGAAAAATATGATGTTCACGTTAGTATAATAGAAAAAATAAAACAAGGACGAGATTGAATATTCGAAGGGTTAGTTTAAGGTTAAAATCGAAGGTTGTTGCAACCTTGCTCTAGTGTTTTTCTTTTAATCAAGGAAGGAAGGAAGTAAGAAAGGAAGGAAGGAAGGAAGGAAGGAAACTACTAGAGATGTCGTCTTCTTCTACTTCTTGAAACGAGAGATCCCTACGTCCCTTCGAGTAAAAGCCGTTATTCGAATACTCCAGTGAAATATTAGCTACTTAATCCATGACGGGAACGAGGGCGTGTTTCCTTCCCTCGGGCGACTATCTTCCAGACTCTTTTCTCTCTCTCTTTCTCATGGTTACTTTCATCTTCAATCAGGTTTCCTCATCATTACTTCTATCAGACTTTCCACATGGTGGTCCCTTAACGTCCTTCTTGCAATAATCTTCGTAGCAATAACGCGGTTCTATGATTTTTAATCGAAATTAGCAATCAGATGAGAATTACATAGTTATCTAGATAAATAGATAATTTTCTTTTTCATATACAAATTATTTCACAATTATTTCTAAACATATTCCGTTTATATCATTGTTATATTATATCAGTAAAGTTTCAAGGTTAATAGTTTTAAGAATCACATGAGAACTATCTAGCTAGCTATGTAGATAAATAGATAATTTTCTTGTTCATATATAAATTATTTTTCTATATATATATATATATATTTCGTTGATATCATCGTAATATTATATCAGTGAATTTTCAAGGTTAATAATTTTTAATCGTCATCACATCCTTCAATTCCGATCCTATTAACTATCACATAATTCGATTAAATTCTAGACGATCGACCAACCAAAATGTCATTTACTCGAAAAATCTTCTATCTTTTACGAGAGAGAGAGAGAAAAAGAGAGGTTTAGGTGCATAAGGGTTTTGGGTGCATAGGTGGTGCATCGACTGTCGAATTATCTTCCTGTTCGATCGATCCTAGGAGGATGCACGGTTTGGAAAATCACTGCATCCACTTTAGTGTCATCCTTTTCTAATCGTATAGGTTCGTAGCATGAATCAATGTTCTTATTAAATTCAACCTTTCAATATATAGTTGGCATAATATATATCCACTATTTTTTACTATTACAGTAATACGACATTAATTTTTGAATTAAATGGGATCCACCTCGTTCGATCCTGAGTGAGGCACGGTTTCGAAAGTCACTGTATCCACTTTAGTGTCGTCCTTTTCTAATCGCATAGTGTTTTCCTATTAAATTCAACCTTTCAATATATAGTTGGCATAATATAACAACCATAATATAATAACAACCCACTATTTTTCACTATTACAGTAATACGATATTAATTCTTGAATTAAATCGTGTTCCGCTCGTTTGGTTGAAATTATCCGATAAATCTTTTACAAATCGATGCATTTATTTACCTTTTTTAGTTTTTTATTTCTTTCTTTTATTTATTTGTAATAAATCCTTTATTTTCTCCTATTAGATTCGCGCGAATCGTGAATACGAGATATGTGTTTGCTAGTAAAGGGGGATCTAGTTATTTTTTTCTTTCTTTTTTCATAAATCAAACTTTTCCAGTAGGATTGGAATAAGTGGTTTTAAGAGGCGGAGAACGGGTGAAGAGGGTGGTAAAGGGTGGGTTCGTAGTCAGTTTTCACAGCATGAAACTTATCGTCCTCTAACGCCCTTCAAAAGTGATTTACGATCGCCCCAAGCGTTAATCCCCCGCGGAGAAAGAAAGAAAGAGAGAAAGAGAGAGAGAGAGAGAGAGAGAAAGAAAAAGAGAATGAGAGAATCCTAGTTATTTTTTAGCACATTCGAATAAAGAAACACATCGATTTCTTCCCTCGTTATCATCCTGCATTCTTTTTATTCTTCTTTATCTCTTATTATCATCATCATCATCATCATCATCTTCTTCTTCTTCTTCTTTCATCTTTCATTCATAAATCTCAATTATATTACTATATAGTCCAGTCAAATTAGTCAAAATTAGGTAAAAATCTCGGAATTTGAGATACCAAGCTATAAACTCGTATAAAATAGTATTTTAACATTCTAAAAGTTGTCTCAAAATCTACATATGATAGGGTGTACGCGACTATTAAAATCTAAGGTCAAAAGTCACAAAAATCGATTTTTTCCAAATATCTCGTTTCCTATAGGTTTTTCGCTATTTGTATTTATTATCAATATTTTAGAGGATTAAATTCCTTACAACTTTTGTTTAAACAATTTTCTTATACGTTGAATCGTTTTCGAGATAGAGGACGGAGAGCGCGCAGTTAGAGCATCTTTAGGGTTAGCCCGTAGTCCCGATCAAAAACACGCCATAAAAAGTTTGTTAATTATTGATAAATACACATAATTATTAATAATTTTCATTTCTTATTAACTATTACATTATATTTAATAATTATTTTACTTACGTATCTATTTATTTTTTATTAAGTATCAATTTATTTAATAACACTTACCTGCTCGTGTTTCTTAAACAAGAAAACAGTCGTAACAATACAATACAATACAATAACTAATATGTCAATAAAACGTAAAATAATTTTTGAATGTGGTAATAATATTATAATAATAATATTATAACAAATAAGCCCTACAATTATCCTACACCTGATATTCTGCATTCGTCTCATTGTTTCGAAACTTAAGTTTTTGAAGGTTTCACTTCTAACACGTGTGATCTGCACACATGTTTTGTTTTATCTATATTTATTTATATATTTATCTTATATTTATTTATTAAATATTTATTTATATATTGTATATAATATATAAATAAAATTTATAATTTATAGTTTATAGTTTTATATTATAGTTTGTAGCTAGTCTGAATGTTAGGTTAGATAGAATTTTTATTTTTTATTTTTTTTTATTTTATGTTTAATTTATATTATATACAAAATATATATAATTAATATTATAATATTTTTTGTTCTTTTGTTTTCTTCATTTAACATTGTTTTATATCTCGTTGACAAAAAAAAATGTAGAAATCATTTATTCGGAAGGGGAAAGGATAAATCGTGGTAGGATTTCTTTTTTTTTGTTTTTTTTTTTTGGTTCGTTTGAAACAAACTTATCGTAAAACGTTTCACGTTTTATCCTTTTATCTGACACATTTAAACAACCCATTCTGCTGAATAAATCTCTATTGTCTTATGATCTTCTTCATCCGTGCATTTCATTAATCCACCGAACAATTCATAGATAGACGATTATGGCAGCCCTTTTGTTAAGGATCGGCATTGACCGATGATGATACGACAGAAGGAGCAAGAATTTTCTTACACGTTTTGAGTACGTCTTAATTAAAACACCCACCATCGCGGTGATTTGAATCGCGTAAAAGACATTCCTTGATCCTTTTCGATCAAGGCTACGATGACGATAAATTGCTATGACGAATGTGACCTTGCTAAAAAGGTAGTAATAATTAACCAACACCCACAACGTACGTTTAGAAAATTTGTTTGATTGATTTGAATATCATTTATAATTTGTTTTGTAATAAAATGAAAAAATAAACAAATATATTTTTAAAAAATTAAAAATAACTAATAATAAAATATAAAATATAAAAAAAGAAAAAATATATACATAACGTCTTACGTTTTATAAAATACATTCCTAGATTTAATATACAAATGTATTATTATTATTACATTTACATACATGAAACATTTACATTTTACATTTACATAATACATTATACAATATCTACAGATATAAATAATATTTAACAGGTAATCTTAAATATTCTTCATTTATTTTATAGGATTGTTATTCAACACGTTGAACGTGTAGATAACAATGCGATCGTCATCGATAAAAATACAATTAATTCAAGAAGGAAAACCAACGAGACATAGAGATAGATAAAAAGATAATAAATTGATCGTAAAAAGTGAATATGAAAAAAAAAAACAACAAAGTAAAATCGTGTAATCGTAAACGTTCAACGTGTTATAATAAAAATCGATTAAAAAAAAAAAAAAAARAAAATAAACCACTTGTAGAGAGTATCGATAAAAATCGTGTACATTGAGATGACATACAACAAAAAATAATAATAAAAACTCGTGTATATATCACTTTTATATACAGAAAAATTAAAAAAAAAAAAAACAAAAAAAAACAAAAACAAAATGATCAATGAAAATGTAAAATGTTTAATGACATTTTTAACTATCTCAAATCATAATGACGTACGAGTTACTTTGGCAACGAAAATGACACGAACGTCTAAGTAATAGGATGCACTTATGTACATGAAACAAAAAATACACACTTTCGAGGCATAGATACAAGATAAAAATAAAATACAGTAATAATAATAATAATAATAATAATAATAATAATAATTAACACATTTCTGACATTAAAGGGCCTCCTCAAACACATCCTTCTTAGTTTGCCAAGAGTTTAGTATAACTCGAAACACGTTGAAATTATTCTCACTTAAGTTGCATACGATTTGCATTATATCCTAGCTGCATATCACTCGAGAAGATTCCATTCCAATTAGCATTGTGACCTGTACCAGTAGCAAACTTTGCGTGTGGGTGAACTAAAGATAGGAAGAGAGAGAGAGAAAGAGAGAGAGAAAGGATAGATACAACAAGGAACGTGATCGTACATCTCAACGACCGTTATTTCACCTCCATCCTTAACGGAGGTTCTCCTAATCGTCGTGAAAGAGACCGAATGACTTTTAATACAACATATGGCTGTTTCTCGTAACACCTGGGAAAAGAACAAAAAATATATCATATATGGTACAATCTAATAAAAAGTATCTCAACATATTTTGATATTATAATATCAAATATAATATTTGTTATAATAAGTAATTTTTTTTTATCTTACGCGTTTATTTTTTATTTTTTAGCGATTGACAAAAAATATATTATATATGGTATAATATAATAAAAAGTATAGCAACTTATTTTGATATTGTAATATCAAACATAGTATTTATTATAATAAATAATTTCTTTTTTATCATACGCGTTTATTTTTTATTTTTTAGCGATTCTGAAATTGCACATGTTCTTTTTTTAAATATAATATATATTATTTTACTATTTCATGAATTGGTTCGTTTTTTATTTATTTTTTAATGTTTTACTTTAAAATTTATTTTTTATTTTTTTAATTTAATTTAATTTAATTTTTTTTTCTATTTTCAATGAAACAACAACGAAAAAATTAAAGCGCAGAATCTAATAGAATAATTTGATCTTCTGTCTATAAAATAATTGAATATTCTCTTTTGTATATATTAATATTAAAATTGGTTTGTGTGATTGAAAAAACTTAAGATAATCGACAACTGAATCGTGAGATATGACGCACGATTAAAAATGTTAATTAGTCATTTAATTAACTGGCACCATCGTGACGATCCAAAGAAGAGTAAAAAAAAAAACGTTTAACAGAATGGAAACGAAAGCAAGTCAATGGCATTTTAAAATCCACAATTGTTAACAAAAGTGAGGAAAAAGACACTTGCGCGAGTTTCATGGCCGATTTAATCTCGAGACTAACCAACGAACGAACATTTCTTTTTTTTTTTTTTTTTTTGAACAAATAGGAAAGTGAACGAAACGATTATATACTACGTCTCTTTTTTTTCTTTTTTTTTAAACAAACTACCATACGTCGATCAAAAGATGTGTCAGACACACAATCCGATCAAACGAGATAGATTTAACATTATATATAATATATATATTATATTTAATATTATAAATATTTATTTATATAAATTTATATAATATTTTTATTTAAATATAATATATTTAAATATAATAAAGATTATATTATATTATTATATATTATTAATATACGAATATTATATTATAAATTTAATAAATATCAAATATATTTAAATATAATAAATATTATATTATAAATTTAATAAATATCAAATATATTTAAATATATAAATATTATATTACAAATTGAATAAATATTAAAATATATTAAAATATATAATTGAAGCAAATAAGATTTTCCATTGAAATTTTAAACTTAATATTAAAACTTACTGTGCAAATTAGAAGTGTTAGGTAAAGAACTTGCTAATGGAAGTTCCATGCCAGGGTGTTCATGGATCACAGTTTCGGTAATATTGTTTTCAGCTTCGGAATGTGCCCTACGATGTTCTCTGTGTCCACGTCCATCATTTTTTCGTCTTTTTTCTGTCGTACAACAACGTTGATCCCTTTGCAATGTCATTTCGTGCGAATACATTGATTCCAAATTTGTAAATGAATTGAATCTTTGTCGTCTTCTTGTTAACGCTTGATTAGCCCTTCTACCAACTACGCTTGATGTTTCATGATTGTTACGATTTAAATCGTTACTTCGTTCACGACGTTGCAATGATTTCAAGGAATCCTCGTAACCGCTGCAAAATTACAAATAAAAAAGAACAAATGAGCCATTTATTTTGAAATTGGTTAAACTCCATTTATGTTTGAATCGAGATATTGAAGGGTTTGCGTTTCAATGCAATTAAAAATATACGAGTCATACTGCTTAAGTGTATCTAAAAGTGTTCAATTTATAGTTCCTATTAAAATATTGGCAATTATTAAATGAACAAAATAAAAACATGTGTGCATATCACACAAGTTAGAAATGAAACCTTCAAAAAACTAAGTTTCGAAACAATGAGACGAATGCGAAGTATCAAGAGTAAGATAATTTTGTAGGATTTTTTTATTATAATATTGTTACCATAAATATCAAAGTTTATTTTTTCAAATCACACGCATTTTAAAGAAGTTTTCACTTCAATAATTTGCATTTTCAAACCACGAATGCAGTTAGACAATTTTCAAAATAAACGGGCACAAAAATAATGTATCACTTTGAAATGGGATAAAATTAAAAGCAATCGTTACTTACTTGCTACTCTCACCGCTTGAAGGACTCGAGGAATGACTGCAGTGACAGGATGCTCGTGCCACGATTCCTGAATCCTGACCACTGGAATGCAAGGACGTTGCAGATGCCTCGAGGCCTTTCGTTGTACCTGTCGTTCTCACGCCATGTTTTATACTGTTACCATTCATCCTGTAAAACCACAAATACAAACGAGAATAATAATAGCATAAGTCTAGTTTAGTTTAACAATTAAAAAGAACTTTCACTTTGTTTTTTTAAATAATACACTGAAGGATATTATATTAAATAAAATGGTTAAGCTGGTTAATAAAATGATGAAAACACAAAAAAGTTTATCTTGAAAGTGGGGTTTATATAAGTCAAATCATACTCATCGAAAATATTATTTAAATAATAGTAATAATGTTAATTGGGATGATACTATGATTCTACTAGATATCATGTCTGTTATCAATATTTTGAAATTGAATTCAACGCACAACCTTCAATACAAATATAAAAAAATGAACTTAGGTCAATTTCAGAATAAATTTCATATTAATTTGTATGGTTAGGCTGGTTAATAAAATGATGAATAAGTTTATCTTTAAAGTGGGGTTTATACGTCAAATCATACTCATCAAAAATATTATTTAAATAATATTATTTTATACTATAAATTATAATATTATATACTATATACTATTATAGTATAGGATATTATATATAATGATATTATAGTATATTATAATATTATAATGTAATGATATTATAACAGTAATGATATTATAGATATATTATAATATTATTTATGATACTATGATTTAACTATATGTCATATCTATTATCAATATTTTGAAATTTAATTCAATGTAAACCCTTCGATATAAATATATAAAAAATGGACTTATTCAAATATTTTATTTAATAAAAAAAAAAAAACGTAAAAATAATGAAACTCACGTGTGAAATCGTACGCATCCTGGTCCATGATCGCAGATACTTTGTCGTCTTGGTATATCGGTACAAAAAGGTTCTGGGTCGTAACGAAGGCCATCAACGAAGGTTGGGAAGAGTGCTGGTTTCTGCAATGTCGAGTCTGCCAAAGCAAAGCCAAGTGGACCACCACCACTGCTGGAGAACATGGCCTTTTCTCGTCGTCTACGACTAACCAATTGAGTTCCAGAAGTCCATTCATTCAAAGTTCGACACATACACACACTCAAACACACTCAAATACACACAGATAGAGGTTGGAACAAAATCAACGATGATATGAAGAATGACCATTAAAGAAATTAAAAAGGAATGGAAAAAGAATAGTCAAAGAAATGGAGAATGAACATTTTCTAAATTGATTTAACCACTTGCCCTACAAAGACGTGCCATGCACGTTCAGAGGCTTTTGTTTCAAAACTGCGAGTGACGTGTACACCACGATAGGCGATAGGCGTGGTAAATAGATTTATATCAGGATTGAGCAACCTTTTTTAGCAACGGGCCTATCGAAATTTTGAAATTTTTTTTGGCGGCCCCAAATCACACTTCTTAATAGTATTTAAAATGGACACTTTGCAATCATATTGCATGTTAAAACAAGTCGTATTAATTTGGTAGAACTTAATATATTAGCGGAAGAATATTTGTAATATAAATAAACGCTTGGCGGGCCTAGGGCCACGGCCTAGGTCACATGCGGCCCTAGAGCCGCGGGTTGCTCACCCCTGATTTATATTATTTTCATCATATCAATCCCCAATATCGTAAAATGAAAAATAATAGCAAACTAAGTGATATTGTTTTGAGAAGTGCAATATTGTATCGCACGGGACCGCAACCGTGAAGTTAAATCGTAGGACAAGTGGTTAAGTTTACTATGTTTTTTATTTTTTTTTTCCATATAGTAGTAGTAATAGTAGTAGTAGTAGTGTTTGGCATGCTCCAGAAATATGATTTTATTAGAAAAATTTGATCACCTAACATTCCAATTATTATTTTTTTTTAAATGCATGATTAAAACACGTCCACGAAAAAAAAAAACAGAAAGAAATGAAGAAAGAAAACGAAGAAACAAAAAACAGATAGAAAATATTAAGGTTGTTGTTGAGGAGATTTTAGTTTCCTTTCGTTTTCCCATTTTTCAACAAATTTATATGAAAAATATTAGTAAATAAGAGTCATTTGAAAATGAATGGAAAATGAGAAAGAAAATTAATTCGATATCGTCGTGGTAGTATCCTCGATCGGCGTAGAATTGTTTTGAGATGATCGAGTTAAACCGTAATCCTCGTACCGTTTATTCCTACGAACGCAGGTGACACAAAGGGCTGTTACAAGGGCACCAACGAATACGACGCAACCAAGTACGACTACACCAACTTCTAAAGTGGACAGCATGTAACGATGATTTTTTCTTGATGAATTTCCAGTTATTTCTAATACACGATACTCATCCAATTCACGTTTTATTTCCACCTTCTTGTTGTGAAAAACGCTGTTAACAAAAAAACAAAAAAATTAGAAAAATTTTCTTTTTTTGGGAGATTTTTTTTCCCCTTTTACAAAAATTCCGTTTCATTTTGTATTTGATTATTAGAAATGATATTTCTCAGATTTTTTTGAAGTGAAAACTTCTTTAAAATAGGAGTGATCTGAAAAGTAAATAAACGCGGTCGGTCAGGAAACGAAGCTATGAAACGGAGCTATGAAACGGCTGCTATACTAAATAATGAGAGAAAAAGAGACAAACATATAGGATTGAACCTGCGAGAGAATGAGACGGAATATATACCCTACGGACTTATCGGAAAAAACCTCACTACTTTTCGGAAAAAAGCCTCACTACTTTTTCCTTACTAGAGAGGTGTTTACTACACTAACAGAGGTGTTTAGTTACCATGCATTTTTTAGTTACCAGAAGCAACTCGTCTCATTTCTTTGAATTGAGAATTTGCTTACTGTATACTAATATGTTATCTATTTATATATGTTTTCAATAAAACGTATAATAATTTTTGAATGTGATAACAATAATATAATAATAATATTATAACAAATAAACCCTACAATTATCCTATTCCTGATATTCTGTAGTCGTCTCATTCTCTCGAAACTTAGTTTTTCGAAGGTTTCACTTCTAACACGTGTGATCTGCCCACATGATATTTTTTTTATTCCTGATATTGTTTTTTTCTTTTTCTTATAAAAAAGAAAAAAAGAAATGTAGCAATAAATTGAATCCATCAAGAAAATAATCGTAGGGATTCTTACTTATGCAAGGTATCCATGTCGATCATTACGTTTAGATGGGGATCTATGGCATATAGGTAGATGTCGGTTCTGTAAAAATAAAAAAATAAAATACAAAATTGCTCTACGTGCTGATCACAAATCATTCTCGGCAGAAGTGAAAGTGAAGAAGGAAGATTTTTAATACTTACGAAGTTGTGTCGATCAGATTCTTTTCAATATGCGGCTCAAGCTTCCTGACACGTACATCGAGTCCCGTGATATTGTGCAGAACTCTGAAATATGAGATACGTTTTCACATTTAAATCGAGGGAAAACGTAGGGAGGATTGGATAGGAAGATGATAATGATGGGTTATGGGGAAAAAAAGAAATACGAATGCAACTTCTACGAACAATTCTAAAATTACTTGAGAAAATGTGTCGATGTGTTTTTTTTTTTTTTTTAATTCCATTAACCCTTCGAATGCTGAATACTTTTAAGCTAAAATTTTTTGTAGGAACAGAATAATTTATTATTAATAGGATTCTAATAATAAATTGTATTAATAATTAAAGTTTTTGTTTTTGAATATCATTTAAATTAATGATTATAAACACAATACATTATTTTATATTATTTTACATTAATATTAATTTAATAATAATAATAAATTTATATATAATAATAATAACATTATTATTATTATTATTATTATATATTATTATTATACTATTATATATTATATATATTATTATATTATTATATATTATTATATATATTATATAATTATATAATAATAATAAAAATAATAAAAATAATAATAATAAATTTTAAATTATTTTAAATTAATATTATCAAACACGTATATGCTTTGATAGATCACTTTGATAATTTTTACCAAACGCATATATACGTCCATAGCATTCTAAGGGTTAAGAAAAAACAAAATATTTGAAATATGTTCAACTTACGCTGTAAAATTATCCAAATGTGGTTCGATGTCAATAGGTTTTTGTCCGACTACCATGACAACTTGTTTTTTATCATCCAACACGTACACCTGTTAGAACAAAATGAGTATAAAAAAAGGCTCATATAATTTTGCAAGAAAACACATTGGTCGTAAGAAAGTATCCCCCCATATCCTCCCCGTTTTTTTGGAAAGGACCTTGACCAAGAGACTTTGCAACAATAAGAAAGGGAGAACAAAAAGAAGTAACTAACAAAAACGTTGGCAATGCCACTGCGACCATTCTCAGCTCCACGTCTATCCGTGGCCTTGACGTCAAAACCAAATACACGTCCAGAGTCACGAGTAAAACTGGCCACAGACCGAACTTGACCGCTTAGTGGGTCAATGGCAAATCTCGGCGCATCTTCTCGTCCAAGAATTTGATAACGAACTTCACCATTTATACCGTCGTCCGGATCCTCAGCCTAAAAAAAAAAAAACCAAAAAATATTAGAAAGACTGATAAACAAATTATTCTAAATTTAACCGTCGGTTCGTTTGGACCTTATACTTTTGTCGCATACCTACGTGCTTATCTCTGTTTATTCTTTTACCCTTCTATCGCTCCTACCTACAAACATTTCGAGTATCGAAAGAATATGTGTGTTTACGCTTTGTAGTATGCAATCGCACACAAACACACACATATACAACCAGGAGCGATAACTACGAAGCATAGCATAAAGAGAAGACCGAAAATAGGAAAAACTGTATAGCTATATTCCGTCTCATTCCCTTGCAGTCTAAATCCTATGTTTGTCTCTTTTTCTCTCATTATTTAGTATGGCAGCCGTTTCATAGCTTCGTTACATAGCTCCGTTTCCGTTTATTTACTTTTCAGATCACTCCCATTCTAAAGAAGTTTTCACTTCAAAAAAAAAAAATCTTTTCAAGGTTAAAAATAATAAAAAGTAAATAAAATATTGTATCTAAATGGATAGGACATTGACAATTTTTTTATTTCCTTTTTTTTAGTCACCTCTATCTAATTAAAGATCTCTGAGATAATTGTATTTGCATTATCGTTCGTGCGACAAGGTAATCAATCGTTGGGCAATTGCAATTGGTGTTTGTCGAAGTGGCGCTTTAGTTTCGTTGAAAGAAAAAAACTATAAATAACACGACGGAGAAATGGAAAAGGGAAAAAGGGAGAGCAAATAAACTCGAATATACTCGGTGTACCTATATATATTACGTATATGAATTTTTTTTCTCAACCAACGACGACATTTTGCTCATCAAAGCGATGATAAACGATGAGAAAGATAGGGAAAAAAATGTAACAAAAAAAATTAAAAAATAAAAAAAACGTAGAAGATGAAGAAATAATGAAGAAGGAGACGGAGGTGGAGGAGGAGGAGGAGGAGGAAGGATTTTTGCTGTTCTATTTGGACCGATTGTTCGCGTCTCGTTATAATTAAAAAACGTGCTGAAGGAGAAAAGGAAAAAAAAAGGAAAAACAAATAAATTGTAGGCAGGAAAAAATAAAAAGGGATACATCGAGAGACATACATATAGATAGATAGATAAGTAGATAGGTAGATAGATAGATAGATAGACAGATAAGGAACAAGAAAAGAAGAAACGAATTAAAGAAAAGTAGAACAAAACTAGGACAGGTCGTATAATAAAGAAAGGTTAGTGAAAAAAAGAGTACACAAGAAGGCAAAAAGGAAAAACCGAAATGAATTAAGGTCGAGTCACTTTGTGACAAAGAAACACACACACCCACATACACACATATATTTACATAGGAATAAGTGGACAGATAGATTAAGACGCGTGCGCAGAAGAACATGCAAGTTTCTAATGATGATGATGCGTATGCTTACCTCAACTTTAATGACCTCGTAACCATAGTGGGCAGTGGTAGGTATAGCAGCTAGGATGGGTCTTCCCTTAGACTTAAATCTCGGCGCATTGTCATTGGTGTCCTTGATCCTGACGACGACCCTGGCCTCGTTAGGGGCGAGACCATTGAGCCTCTCACCGACGACCGGATAGATCATCACGGGCATCCCACGACCGAGCTTTACCCTATCGACCCTGACCTTAACCTCGTACCGATCTCTCATTTCCCTGTCGACGTTCGTAATCAAATACAACGAACCGTTCTTAGGATCTATCGAAAAATGATCTCTGCCATCGGTTCCATCGGCAACGATGCTGTAACGTATATGATCATTTTGATAACCATCAGCTAAATCCAATTCAGTTATCCAAATTGGTGATGCTGTGTTTTCTTCAACCTCGACCTCGTAATATCGGTGCCTAAACGTTGGGATCTTTTGAACTTCGTTAAACGAATCATCTTGATCATCTTTTTCTATTTCTTTGTCTTCGTCATTTTCATCGTCATCATTCTCGTCGTCTACATTAATGATATCAACATTTACTATTGCAGTAGATGTCATACTAATCGGTGAACCAAGATCACTAGCTGTTACGATTAATCGATGATTCTTTATACTCTCATAATCGATATTTGATATAGTAGTGATCGTACCTTCTTTACTATCTATCGTGAAATATTGTTTCTCATCGTTACCTGGACTTGCCAGATCGAAGAGAATCAAACCATTACCATTTCCTTGAAAATCGGTATCATTCGCGTAAACTTTAGCTACGAACGTACCGATTGGACTATTCTCAAAGATGGATGTACGATAAACCGGTATTGGTATACCACGATCGTCATTATCAAGCTCGTTATAATCATAGAAACTTGGGGCATTGTCGTTAACGTCCAATACGTTAATTTCAATTTCAACGGTTGTACTCAAAGAAGTTGAACCATCGTCACGTGCAAGTAAAATTAAACGATGAACTGGTATCGTTTCTCTGTCAAGTTTGCCACTTATTTTGATGATACCATCGCGTGGACCAACATCAAAGATCCAAGTAGAATTGTCCTTGTCATCAATATCATCATCGTCTCGAGCACCAGAAATGATTTCGTAATTGACGTTAGCATTAATACCGTAATCACTGTCAATAGCACGAACGGTTCCGATAGGGTGACCCATGTATGTACCTTCAGCAATGTCGAAGGAATACCAGGATTGATCGAAGACAGGTGCATGATCGTTCACATCAACCACGTGTATTCTTATAGTAATGTTATCGGTAAGGCCACCGCCATCTTTAGCAATGACAAGCAAACGTACATTTCTCTCAGGTGGTAAAGCACGTGACACCGAAATTTCTGCATTTCTTGAATCCAACAAGAAATATCTTCGACTTATCAAATCCTGTTTTGATTGTTTCGACATAATTGACGTTGAATTTATTTCACCAGATATTGTCTCGTTCTGTATACTGTAAATGATTTCAGCGTTAGATCCTAAATCCTTGTCCTCCGCTAACAATCTAATGATCGGTGCACCAATCGTTACATTTTCTGGTACCAAAAGTAACGGTGATTTGCGTTCATTCGTACGTCTCAATGTTTCATTGTTTTCAATCGATGACGAGTCTTCCATATTATTTTTATTCATTAATGACTCTTCGTCAGGTTGATTTGATACTTTAACACCTTGATCGGGTAAAACGATCATGCGAATAAATTTGGGTGAATTGTCATTCGTATCGTCGACGATGATTTTTAAGTTTGCGCTTGACATCATACCACCTAAAAATTACAATTTCAAATTTATGATTAATTGAATATACTTGGATGAAAGAATGTTTATTTTCGAAATGGAACAAATTCTTATCTAATAGAATGAATTATTTGTTTATTCAAGATTCTTACCACCATCTTTAGCTATTACTTGAAGATCATAGTTTTCTTTTTCCTCGCGGTTCAAATAATTCTCTTGGTTGTTACCCTCGAAATATACTCGAGCATTGTTAGGATCAATTCTGAATAATGAACTACCTTCTCCGGTCAAACTGAAAATAAATTCTTGATTAATACCCTCGTCTTTGTCAGAAGCTGCAATAGGATTGGCCATGGTAACTTCCGTTCCGATTGGACTGTTTTCTAGAATTCGTCCTTCGTACGATGACGAACTAAACACAGGTGAATGATCATTCTCATCATCGACAATTACTCTTATCTGAAATATACCCAACATAATGTTACGTTCGATTATTATAAACGTTTAAATAAACTATCATTATACACTCTATGATCTTTGAAAAATAATGAACATAATGACAACTCTTACTTGAATAACTTGTAATCCTTTAGAACCTTCTGCTATAACAGTGATACTATAATTTTGTCTAGTTTCACGATCTAAACCATTGGGTGCATAAAGGGTACCATCTTCCATGATACTAATGTCAGGTACGTCCTGTTGATTGACTATAAAATAACTTGTAGTAGCCGAACTGCTAATTGTACCGTTATTAACTAAAACTCGTCCTATGTACGTCCCTGGGATATTTTCTTTTGCATGGAATATTATTGGTGTCGTTGTTGCACCTCTAAAAAAAACAAAAAAAAATCGGAGTGCATTGATTTGTATATAAATTTCTTTTAATTAAATCATTAGATAATGTGTTGAAATAAACTTACTTGGTAAAAGCACCCCTCTCATCGTTAGGATCGACAACATGAATGGAAACGTTGGTTACAAGTGTTAAATCCCTTTCGTCAGTTACAACACCTTCGAACTCGTAAATCGAACGATCGTATCGTTCGATTTCATCCACCACCGTTATCGTTCCTGATCTTTCCTCAACAGCGAACGGAACTGAAAGCCCATTGGATATGCATACACCAGGTGTTACGTATTACCATCAATTAAAGTCAATTTTATCTTTTTTTTTTTTTTTAATTTTTTACAAATATTTTCAAAGTGATCTTTAAATATTCTAAATTGTAAAGTAAGAGTATTGTTAATCGATTTTTTTCTAATTTCAAATTCGATAAGAATTAATTCCAATTTTTTTTTTTTTTTGATAGAATAAATAAAAATTCTTTTGTGTTATATTATAATATATATTATATAATTAAATAGTATATATATATAGTTAAGTATATATACAAATATATATACTTATATAGTTAGTATATACACTAATTAATATATAATATTATATTAATACTTATATAATTATAATTTATATATAATAATTTGAAATATATTTTAAAGAACAAACTCATGTTGAAAAATAAAATTGGATAATAAATAAATTATTGATTATGAGATTAAGAAAATTTGACACCGAGTTATAAAAAAAAAAAAACGAATCTAATGCAAGGAGGTAAATTTTAGTAATTGTTCGTTTGTTTATAACAATTGAATTAAAAGTACCTCCTTCCTGATAACTATGAAGAAGATCGTAGATAAGATCGCTCGTCTTAACGGCATCGTTTATACGAATCTGGCCAACGCTGGTACCAACTGGGACATTGGCACCAACCCAAAACTCATAGGGTGCTCCGACGAAATCGGGTTCCCAAGAATCTGGTCCTGAAACGAGATAGATCGGAGATCAATAAAAGAATAAAACAACAGTCAGAGTTTGATTGATCTTTTTTTTTTAGGGAGGCTCTTTTAAAGAGCTATCTTATTTAATCATCATACAATTTGTTTGTTGGTTTGTTCTAATTGATTTTGTGGTACATAATAATACATTTGTATCAATTACAACGACGTTTTGCTTGTGAGTTACATTATATCAAAATGAATTCACACAGAAAAACGAGAGATGACAAAATATTATTATTATACAATTGTTCAAAAGTTTATTTAAATAATATGCATAAGTAATAAGAAGGTTTTGTTAAGACATACGAAGTAGATATCATAATTGTTTTTACTTTCGATGAATATTAAATAAATTAATTATCGTAAAACGAGTGTAAGCCTAATATGATATTAAGTTACATTAAAAACACATACATATACACACATGTACAGAGATTCTTTCGCATTCTTACACGCAAAATGATTGATATATTTATATATCCTATGTTGAATGGCTGATGGGGTCCTGTATCTTTTTTTTTTTTTTTTGAAAAGCATCACATCCTAGGTCGAAGAAGAAACACGTTGCGTATCATTGAGCGTATAAGAAATCGAAAGAAGAAAGAAATTACCGTCAGGACGGAAAACATCGATTGTAACAACGGCCAATGAGAATCGCCTTTCACTCGGATTCGCTGGTTGATCAGCAGCCTCGACAAATATCGCGTGCCTTCCCTCGACGATAGGACTTTCAGCTACGGTAATAACACCTGTCTTATCATCAACCGCAAATGGTGGTACACGTTTACTAGAATTTCCTGGTTTTTGTAAAGTATATTTAACCAATCCATTAATACCAAGATCTTCATCAACTGCATGAACTTGTCCAAGTACTGTACCAATTTTGGCATCGGCACGTGCAACCAATTCGTACAAATTCGCAGGTACGAATACGGGATTATTATCGTTAGCGTCCAACAAACTAACGTGAATGTCTACCGACGAATCATTAACACGTTTACCATTTATCAAAATCACATTTGGTTTTTTCTCAACAGCGTAAACTTTCATTCTCAAACGATTCCTCCTTTCCCGATCCAATACGTTTTGATCTTTGACAGTTAACCAACCGGTTTTTGGATCAATCGAAAATGCACCGGACGGATCGTTCAAACGAAAATCAAATTCACCGTTTTCACCTTGATCCTTGTCATGTGCTATCACTTGTAATACGCTAAAACCATTTGGAAGATTTTCAACTATACTTATGTTGTACAAATCAACTTCGAATTCTGGCAAATTATCATTCAAATCCAATACTTCGATTTCTACTCGTGCCATTGACATTTTTAATGGATTGTCGATTTGCGATGCATGAATTTGTAAGGTAAATTTGTTATCAGGAAGATTTCGTTCGTTGTCAAGATCTATTGGACGTTTGAGGAATAGCGATCCGTTCTTTGGGTCCAAATGAAAGTAACCATTCTCGTTTCCTGATATTATGTCATATCTTATAGACACGTTGATGTCGTGATCACGATCAACAGCATGAATCGGTGTCGTGAAGTTGATTTCCTTGAAAATCGGCTTATCCTGTTGGAGAAAGTCAACAGAAATATTGATAAAGGAAGAATCTTCTTTTTCTTTTTTTTTTTTTTTTTAATAAATCAAAAGTAAAGTAATAAATCATACTAATAATTGATTGAAAGATTTCACGCGAAGATACAACGAAATGACAGCAGAGTATTATATATATTTAATTTTAATAATTTTATTTAAATAATTAATCCGATGTTACGTAAGATATATATATTTTTTTTTTAATATCAAATAACAGTTTTAACACGAAATAAATGAAAATTAGTTGCATTTAAGTTAAATTACGTGTAAAAGTACATCCTAGTGAAATATTCATTAACTTGTCATTATACGTTATGACGTATATAGTGTAAAAAGTAACACGCAAAGTGAAACCATAGAATTGTCATGTGAAAGTGATGCACGACGTTTAAAATATACTTTCGTTATACTATTTTAACGAGAGAAAAAAAAACTTTCTTTTAATTATAGTTTATATCTATTATAGCCAAGAATATGTCAACGTACTATCTCGTTGTTATGTATTTATTAATATTAATTTTTTAATGAGTAAATTAATTGAAAAAGAAAAAAAAGTAACATCTTATATTCATTTACTTTTGTATTTTGTTATAAATAATTATTAAAAAAAAATAATATAATTATATTAATATAATATAATTATATTTATAATT